TATTAGATAAAAACGTCTGTCTTGTGCTTTTCTAGCCTAATCAATCCAACCAGGAAGAATTTTCTGAGAGCAGAAAATGGAATCCCTTTTTAAAAGAGAGTTATCTTTCTTCTGATTAATAGGGAACTCAGCTTTCCCCATCCCCAAGTTCCAAGTGCTACTGGATGACTGGTCTTAAACATGGAAGTTAACTATCATGGTCCAGGGTTTCTTCCTCATTAAAATGACCACTCAAAAGGTGCATGTCATAGAGCGGCTGGGAGGATAAATTAGATAATGTGTGTGAAGGGAACTACTGCAGTGCCTGGCATAAGGTGAGTCCTCAAAGAGACGTGTGCAAAATCTAAACTCACGTGATGATGGATGTAAGAGTGTATTATTAATGGTACAGCATTCAGCATCAATAAAATTTATCCCCTGTCAATTCATAACACTTTATAAATTTCCTTCATATCTAGGGCAGCCTGGCCTACTATATGGTTATTGGCAAGTCACAATTAAAATAAAGAAAGAACAAACGAAATCAAATGATGTATTGCATTGGGCAAATCAGCTGCAAAAAACCTCTTCAAAGTGTTAAAGAGCAAAGACGTCATTTTGAAGACTAAGCTATGGCTGTCCTAAGTCACAGTATTTTTCAATCACCTCGTAGGCATGTAAACACTGCACAATAAATAAGGAAGACTAAAGAAGAACTGCTGCATTTCAATTTTAGGACTGGTGAGTAATGCTGCATACATCATAGACTGCCGGAAGAACAAACACTCTGTCTTGGAAGAAGTATAGCCAGGATGCTCCTCAGAAGCAAGGATGTCAAGACATCGTCTCACATATTTTGGCCACATTGTCAGAAGGGACCAAGCCCTGGAGAAGGACATCATACTTGGTAAAGGAGAAGGTCAGAAAACAAGGGAAAGATTCTCAGGGAGATGGACTGACACAATGGCTGCAAAGCAGGTACTGTGAGAATGGCCCAGGACCAGGCAACGTTCTGTTCTGTTGTACACAGGTCGCTGTGAGCTGGGACTCACTTGAGGGCACTTAACAACAACACAGCTAGAGAAGGAAACAGATCTGAGAACTAGGTGAGGACATGTCTCTAGGGTCTCCCACGTGTAGATGTTGATGAGGACCCCAGAAAGAGAATGGAAAAAGTGTGGTTGTTCAGTGTGGCAGGCAAAGTACCAAAAAGAGCAACATCCTACAAAGCAAAAGCAGAGTTTCCTAGAAGTGTTTATACTACAAATCCAGTCCATCAGCAAATCCTCTTGCCTCTATTTTCATTTATCCAGAATGTGACTTCTTGTTACTACTCCCACTTTCCAACACAGTGCAAGTCACCATGAACCTCCTCAGACAACTGTAGAAGTCTTTAACTGATTTATTGTCTTTCTTTCTTCTTTTTTTTAAATTCTTATTGTGATTTGGCTGAAAGTTTACAGAGCAAATTCATTTTCCACACAGCAGTTCATAAACATTCGGTCTCATGACCAAAATACTCACTGCTGTCGAGTAGTTTCCAACTCATGGCAACCCCTCCTTGGGATTCCGAGGCACTCTCAGCCACTCCTCGGAAGGAAGGTTGGGCAATCCTACTTCCATAGTGATACTGCCTCGGAAACCCAAGGAGGGGTCGCTATGAGTCGGGGCCGACTCGACAGCACATAACAACAACAACAACAACAATCTCTATGGAAGTAGACTGCCCAATCTTCCTTTTGAGGAGTGGCTGGTGGGTTTGAACCACCAGCCTTCTGGTTAGCAGTCAAATGCCTTGAGCAACATCGACTGTAATTCCCCACAATGTAACAGCTCTCTTCCTACTTCCTCCCCATAGTTACCTCTTCCCTGTGTCCTTCCCTCCCATGTACTTCCACCCTCCGGGCTGTATTCCTGTGCAAGCACTGCCCCTCTGTTCTCTCATGATTGATAGCTCCAAGTAGTGTATCTACCTATGTAAATGTTCAGCCCACATGCCTATTATTTGGCTGCAAGCCACAGGAATGAATTCAATTCCAGACCTGAAGGGGAGCTAGGGTCTACAGTCTCAGGGGTGTCACCAGGCTCTATCAGACAAGTAAACCTGGTCATTTTTTGTGATTTCGGGTTCTGTTTCACATTGTTCTCCCACTCTATCCTGGATCTCCAGCACTGATCCTCCTCCAAGTGGTTGACAGTGGCAGTAGGGCACCATCTAGTTTTTCTGGTTTCATGGTTATATAAGCTGAGGATCACATGGTCTAGCAGTCTCCTGGACTAACTGTTTCCATGCATCTTTGGTTTTCTTCATTCTTCTTCGCTCTGAATAAGGAGAGACCCGTTGTTCTATCTAGATGGCCTTTTGCAAGCTTTTAAGATCCCAGTTGCTACTCACCAAAGTAGGCTGAAGAACAGTGTTTCTGTGTAGTATGTTATGCCAATTGAGCTTGATGTCCCCTGCAACCATGGTCTTGAGCCCACAGGTTCATCTACTTGCTCCCTCTGGTAGCTGGCTGTAGCCAAGAAGTCACCACAACCTTTTCACTTGTCAGCTCTACTACATACCTGGATACTTTTACAGCACATACAAATATGCTTGTAGAAACATTATCTGCCAACCCT